AACAAAGGTTTCATAGAATTCAAGTCAAACTATATTAAAAGACTTTTTGTTAATTGCCAATGATATTTAAGACCAATTCTACACACTGCTATCCACGTCTGCAAATGTTTATGCTAGAAACAGCTAAAATAAATTGCCATTTCTAATTTTATATAAATGATACAATGAATGTCAGAAAGAACCATTCATAAAACCCTACTTCCAGTATTTTTGGCGTTTTTAGGAATGTTGAAAAAAACTGATTCAAAGTTATATTTTTAGATTCATTTATTCAATGCCTTTTAACACTTTTTAAGGATCAGCAGGAGCCTTGTAAACATGAGTAAAATATTAAATTGTACCACTTTAAATTACACAGCTGCTGAACATTTCTTTATGCTAGTCTGAAGCTAAAAGGTGACTCTCTTCCATCCTCTGAAGCATTTTAACAAAAGAGCGTTTCCAGGAACTTCACGCCTGAATGAATGAGTGAAAAAATAGCTCTTACAATAAACTCCTGAAATAGAGAGAGCAGAATGTACATTTCATTCAACAGTGGAGGGCGAGCTAAGTGAGACCACAAGATAGAGAAATCAGTCAACCATTGTTGAGAGGAGCAGACCAGCAAAAACAAACACACATATAGCTCTGTAGAGTGAGAGTGTGTGCTGGTCATGTGTGTGCAGTCATGAGACAGCACAGTGACAGGAGGAGGGGGAGAGGGGGGGAGGACTGAGCTCTGAGGCTTTCCTGGAGAAACTGAGGCTACCAAGGAGTGATTCAACAGCAGATCACCAGACACACACGGTGCTGCATCACACTCGTTCTTAATGATTGTTTCAGGACCCATTCAATAACTGAAATTGTTGTCATAATGCCAACAAAGCCACTCTTCAGCCAACAATGCAGACTCAGCTAGAAATAAACAGGAAGGTCTGTACTTTAAAGAAAAACAAGAAGGCGCAGTGTCTGCTGAAGCCAAAACTTGATTCTACAATATTAGAAATATGCTTAAAGTTCTTACTGGTAATCTATAACATAGGACATCCTGAAAACTTATTTCAATATGGCTGCTTTCAATTGGCGTGTGAGGGAGAATGAATGAATGAATGAAACGTACAAAAAAATGCAGCACACACATGAGAAACAAACTGTGGGCTGGCCAGGAAAAAGTTACACACTGAGGCGTACACACACACACACACACACTCACAGTGTATTAATATTTCAGCAAACTGTCCACTGTTGACTTGGCAACCACCACCTTATCCAGGCAGCCCAGGTTGGGTTACAACCATGGTTACAACTGGAGAACTTCTAGGCCCATACATTAAATCAAGAATTGATAGCCTCGAACAACATAGCCGATCTAAGTGCGAGATTTCCAAAAATACATATAGAAATAAGTACTTGTGTGTTTGTGAATAGATGTTTTGATATATTTTTGCTATAGTTTACTTCAATTCATTAAAAATGTTCTTAATATTTTTATTCTGGCATGCAAGTTTTCATAGGGTTATTAACTCATAACAAACGGTCCTTTAGAAGGTTAGGTATAACTTTAATTAAAACACAAATATAGATCTTTAATCTCCAAGCAAAATGTTTACATAGCTGATATGATGTGGTTGGCGAGCAGTACAACTCTGCCACGTTGAGAAAATCCCAAAGATCCCCTCAGGTTAGACACGCTACCTCTACTTTTCACATCTGACCTAAAGCTGGTAACAGGTGTGCACAGCAGCTTCGTCTGCAGCTTCGTGCAACAACAATCCAGGGATTCTGCATTTCACATCCAACCCCTCCAACAACCTGACATGTTTAACAGCAGTAACACAGGGACAATACAACTAAAAGAACAAGCTGATGAGAGATGGAAACGTGGCTGTCCCCAAACAGTAAAAGCCCTCTAATGGTCCATCCATCCCCCTCCTCCCTCTCAGGTCTGTGCTGTGATGAGCCTGTCATATTCACAGAGCTGTGACAGGATGACATCAGCTTCAATCACTGTGGGGGATGTATAAAACAAGCTGCTGGCTGCCTGACTCATTTCTCATGATTTACCCGTTTACAGAAGATGTTTTTTTTATTATTATTATCAACAAACGCACAGTCACACCTGCATTTGTAAACTCATTTTAAACCAGACAGAGAAGTTAAGGCCTGTTGGACACTCGTTTGCCCATGTAATCGGAGCATTCAACAGTGTCCTCAACTCACAAGAGACAAATATCACTGGATACTTCCTACAAAAATGAATCTCTACTCAGATCCTTCAATGCCTTTCTGCTGGAGTACGTAAAGTATTTCGCAATTTGTGTCTGTCTTAGAACAGAAAACTATATAACCTATATTTTCTATTTGGCTTTTCATTTGGGATACTTTTAGTGGTAACACTGTTCATGTTTTGTGGTTTTGTGAGGTAACCCTTTCAATGTTTCTTACTCTTCATCTTTACTCATTGTTTTCAAGTGTCTTATCTTGCTCTTTAAAGCGCTTTGGGATGCATCTTGCATGCACCAGGTGCTACAGTATATAAATACAGTTATTATTATGAAATAAAAAAGGCGAATAATTGATAATGTCATGGTAAGAGGCCTATTGGTAAAACTGAAATTACATATCTCATTAGCAGTAATCTCTGGTATGATCTGCATGAAATAGAAGAGTAATATCCCGGTGAATTCTGATAATCTATCCTCCAACGTCTGTCAGTTAGCTACGTTTGCTAGCTGTCAGTTAGCTAGGTTTGCTAGCTGTCAGTTACAACGTCTCATTGCTTAAAACCTAACATGTAACGTTACCATAAAGTTAACATCAACATTAATTAACGAAACAGTTATTTATCAAACGTTTAAATATCATTCACCGCCTAAAAGCAATTGTTTTGAGTAACTGTTGGTGAAATGACTGAGCAGACGCTACCGTTAGCCGACCTAACGTTAATTCATCTAGCGTTAGCTATTAACGTTAGCCGGCTAGCCTACCTAACGTTAATTCACCTAGCTTTAGCCATTAACGTTAGCTAGCTGCTCAGCGATAACGGTAATGTCACTGTGTGCTGAGTTAAACACATGAATGAATGTCAGGTTAAATATTGTTCCGGTGACACTGGGGGTTGTTTTACCTCTTCTTCCTTGTGATTCCTGATGCCACGTACTAAATCCTGAAGATTTTTATCGAACATCCGATCGATGCTCCCTTTGACAATCTTCAAAGCCATGTTTGCCTGTGACTTGTACCGCTTGTGTCCTGCGGTGCGTCTGCAGAGAGGAGTAAGTGGGTGCCGACCGACCCTCTGGACTGTCTCTCATCCACCCGGGTACCGAGTATGTGCAGGGTCTGCTGTTGTTTACCAAGCCCGGGCAGATGAAGCTGAGGCCGGACGGGGCGTCCTGTGTTGTGCAGAGACGCTGGGAATGGATCAGTGTAGGAAATGGCAGACAAAATGGCGTCTTAAGTCAGCTGACTTTAGTATTATGCGAGACTCTCATAGCAATCAGTGGAATTAAAGGTCCAGCGCTCCCTTCAGAGTAGAAATCTGTTTGATGACAGATTTAGACATTCTAAATGTATGTCCTTGAATTCTTCATAATCTTGTCAACTTCTTTCTTCTTATTCCAATGAAATGTCAAAGTAAACATTCTAGGTCAAAGTCAGACATTTCAGATTTTCCCCAAAATAAATCGCACGAGAGGAATTCTCAGAAAATATAAATGATCTGTTAGGGAAAAAATCACTAGGCCTATATTCTTTTAAATCGGAATTGTGCTTTTTTCCCCCTCAAAATGTTGTCTTTAATCTCAGAATTCTGAAATTAAAGTCGGATTTAAAAAAACAACTTTTGTTCATATCCCTAAATGGTTTTTTCTCATGTGCTCCTTATCCTGTTGCGTACATTAACAAGCCTACAGCATGTGCAGTACTTACTACCAGTTAACTTTATTACATACAAGGTTGACTATGTACTAAGTACCAATAACCTAGAATAAACAACTGGGTCATTCTACAGAAAAGGTGGAAGTGCTGTCACTTACTTTTGCAGACACCAAAATACATGACGTTGACCTAATACTCACATTCATTATATATGTTGAATAAATAGAGATTGTCTTTGCAATGGTACTAAATGAAAAATGGTTTTATACGTAAATTGCAATTTATTTAAAATGCCAAGTTCAAGGAACTGCCTTGTCACTTTGATCATACATGGAAGTGGAGCCTATAGTTTTAATAAAAAAAAATAAAAAATCAATAAATAAATCTAATTTATATTTACATAACATTACAAGCATTAAATATAACACTGAAATGGTAAAAAAAAAACGCAAATTATTATTAATAATATTAAATAAATGTCAGTCACCCAAAATTACGTCATTGGTGTTACTGCTACACAAAACGCTTTTATTTTTGAAATAATGTACTGTCTCTGAAGTGCCTCCTGTAACAAGATATCATTTGAGGCAGTGCAGTGGACAAAGACATAAGGAAAGTCAGATACTTCTTACTTTGTTTGTTAAAGGTGTCATTTTATCTTCAAATGTTACGTGCGTCTTTCAAGTCTGTCAGTGTTACTCATTGCATAGCCCTAGGGGTGAACATTTGAATGGGAAAATGTATTGTATTGAAGAGTTAAACGATTTTGATATTGACTGAAGCCATATTTGGTCTGACACTGCAGCCATTTTGTTAAAATGGTAGTGTTTTCTCCAAATTGTCACTGGTGTTACTCTTCTTCCTGGTAACACGTAACACCAGTGACATTCCTATACAAATAAGCTTTGAATAAAGTATACAAATAATAAAAATACTTTAAGCTCTACTTGTTGTGGATTCATCAAGTTAAGAGTTAGTTATTGCTATTTAACAGGTTTTAGATGTTTTTAGAAGGAATATATTTCAGCAGATTTGTATCACCCAGATTCCACCTTTTCTGTAGAATGACCCAACTATATTGTGATGTTTTGTACAAACACAGCAAATTAAGGGTGTTTTACATCCAGAAATGAGAAACAAAACCATGCTGAGATTTTTATTCAAGTCTCAACTAAGTCATAGAAATGCTTTACCAATTTACATAGCACTAAAAACACCTGTTGTATGCATAAGACGGGGACATGTCAAAATAGGCTGCAGCTACAAGAGATCTCAATAGCTTTTAAGGGCAGTTTTCAATCTGTACAGTTATTCCATTTATTATGCAAGTTACTGAAAGCAGACACTATAGGGAGACGAGAGTGCAAGGTGTTTAACTCCACAGCAGTTGATATTTTAGACAAAACTGTGAATGCAAATATTTGCAAACAAGGCTATAAAAAAGTAGGTGGACCTCAGTTGAATAACATTTTTAAGTGACTCAATTATTGACTTTACATTTCAGACTGGATCAAGACCAGATAATAATATTAATAAAAAAGCTTAACATAAAAGACTCACAGATAGTACTTGACCACTCTTACAATGTCATACACACAGAAAGGAGGCCTTTGTGATGTTGTGTAGGCTTTATCAAAATGAAGCCAACAGATGTAAAGGATGCACAAAATCTTCCAATAGAAAAAAAATTAACGGCATGGCTCCATTTTCCCAAGATAATTCGTCGACGTTTCATCTCATACAACCCCCGCCTAAATTCAGGTTAGAAGTGCTAAAAATGTAATCATTCAATATAAATACCATGTGACAGACCAAAGTAATGGTTCATGTGGTAGAAAGAACAGAATAGCAGGAGTACAGGGGGAAGACCGAGGACGGGCCGAGTGTTGTATAAAACCAAAAGTACATTTTCTGAAATAAAAAGGAGTCTGTGCAGGGCCACAAACTACCATACTAACAAGCTTTCCTTTTGTTGTCTTAAATAATGGACCAAATGGATTGAGCAACAGGGGCCTTCTCGTTTGATATCGTACAAAATGTCTATAAATCAACATTGACGAAACAGATAGGGTAGGAAACGCAGGGGGCACTGTATGACGTCAAACAAAGAGGCCACCATCTTCAGCACTTGGTCCACTGCAGTGGGGTTTCAGGTCTTTCAGCTTTCTACAGCTGGCGGTTCCGTCTCTGCAGAGATGGACTTGTCTGCCTCTTCATACTTGTGAAGCTGTGGTTCAACAGGGCTCTCTGGGCTCCGTCTGAACAGAAAGTACATCATCAGTCACAAATACTGCTGTGGTTCAAATATTACTAAGGAGTGGATGCTACCATTAGCTTTGCAATGGCTAGCAAATGCGTCCTGTTTCTCCGAAGTATTTATTTTCTTTTTCCTTAACCTACGTATTATTATGAAGTAAATGTTGATTGCATAATGACACCATCTGCATTTAGATGTGTTCTCTAAAAGTCTCACTATTACGATGATATTCTGTCTGACACCGGGTACAACCTAACAGAAAATAATGGCCTGATTTACAGCACAAAGCTGTGTAAAACAAAATGTAATGTGTCCTATGGTTGTTGCCAACTATTTTTCAATTAAAGTAGCTAGCATCAACTTAAGATGCGAGTCACCAGGTAAAGTCTTATACGCACATTTGCATATTGGTGTACCGTGGTGAGGTGCTGCTAGCAAGAACTAAAGACAGATTACTTTAAGCAGCATTCAAAATAAATAATAATGTATATTATTTTTATATTTCTTGATCTTTCTTTCTTTTGTCTTGATAAGTAGCTACATTTGTTAATTATTGTAGGCTCTCAGGAGAAGAACAAAATCTATGCAGATGAGATGAGTTTGAAACAGAGATTCCTGTCTATTTTTATTTGTTTTGTAGATGAGCCAAGCTCTGCCTTCATAGCATGATATTTGCCCTTTCCAATTACAAGAGCATTAGTTAATTAGTTGAGTTTACATGGGATGCATACCTGATTGGACTTGAAGCAGTATCGTCATTATTTTCCTCATTGGCTGGTGATTTTGGATTTTCCTTTACCTCCATATCATCCTTTTTCTCTTGTGAATCCCCATTCACTGGAGCAGAGTCTAAAAAATGCAAATTAACATATAAATACAAAATAAATCTAAACCACATTAAACCCAGATGGAGGTAATATCCACGGTGTGATTTCTTACCTGTGTTTTGTGTCTCCTTCTCATTATTTTCTGGTTCCTTGTCCTCTGTTTGAGGTTTAGCTGCCTCCTCCGACTTTCCCATAAAGCGTAGTTTTAACTTGTTGTAGACCTCAGTGGCTTTTATCATGACTGCATTACTGGCCTTATACCGTCGGATCTATATTGTCCCAAACACACAGAAAAAAACATGAAAGGAATTGGAAATACAAATGAGAATTGAAATAGGAAAAATACAGGACTGCCGTGACAGCTCTGATTTTAGGATATAATATAAAATATAAAACGTATTCAGCATAGTGTAAATCAACATTTGAGTGAATTAAAGAATTAAGGCTAATAAATAAGACCTACTTAGTAAAGTAAAGTGACCACATTTTGATATTGTGTCATTAGAAATCACCTCAGAGGCACAATCAAGTGTTGGATTAGTGCATTGATTATCAATATTCTGAAAAACCAATGGTAACCCCAAGAAAACGTAATGTAATTTCTTGACTAATGCGGTGTATGTTACCACAAAAAGTACACACATTTAAAAGAGGACACTATGCCATGTATTTCATTTGCCGTTATTGTAACTGCAGGTTATCCTGTCGCAAGATAAGTTTACGAACCTAAAGAATTATCATAGAAAACACACCTTTTTTAGTGTGGCAATAACTTCAGCGTTCTTATGGAGGATCTGGCTGGTGACGGGCACAGCAGCCAGTTCATCCAGCGCCTGTAGACACCGGTCTATGTCCTGAAAACACAGTTATACACAATTTCATTTGTCATGCTGGCTTTAAAACAAAGACATGAGCAAATGTTGCTTAATTTAAATCATATATGTCACTTACCGGGTTGTCCACTTTGAGTGCAAACTTTATGTCAGTGTGAAGTTTCTGTAGCTTTTCATCTGGTGATGGCTCTGCGTGGGAAGTTAGAGTCAATATTTTGTGCTGAATAACTACTTAAAATAATGAAACGGACATGATTGCCCTCGATATGAGAATCTTTCAACCGTCTATGCAAACACCTTTCCACCTTCAATGACGAGTACTCTTCAATAAACAGACTGACTGTATGAGGCATTTACCCTTTTTCTTTTCCACCTTCTTCTCTGGCGGCCTCTCTGGTTTGCGTCTTGGTTTTTCAGGCTTAGACCTGAGAGACGGAGAAGGGGGAACTCTGTGATCTGTGTACATTAAATGTTAATGAGGTTCTTCTAATGAGTTTTTGCATACTGTAGTCCACATGTGTCAAACTCAAGGCCCGGGGGCCAAATCAGGCCCTTGGTGGATTTAATTTCGGCCCGCAGGATCATTTTAAATTACTATTAGATCTGGCCCGCCGGTATATTGCACGCACACCTTCACTCCATCCTGAGGGTCTCCTCCGCTCAGAGCCTGAGCCCAAACATTGATGACCTTGCACCCAAGATGAGATGCCAAGTATCTGGCTTGAACTAGCATCACAGAGCAGCAACCTGAGTTTAATGGATGTTTCCTTCTGCACTTTCTCTCTCACGACAACAGGGTATGTTTGGTTTTTCTTTGAGGGAAATAGTTTTGTTGAAGCTGTTGTTGGCCTGTGGGAAAATGTAATCATAAGAAATGACTCTGGAAAAGCTGCAGATAGAGCCATAAGAAATGAATGCAACTGATTATTTCATGTTTAATGTTGTTTTTATGGGCAATAATTTAAGCTTTATTAGTTCCAGGTTTAATATGTGCAATAAGTTCATTTCAATAAGTTCTGCAATAAACATTCAACGAGTCCGGCCCTCGACTAGTACCCATTTGTGTACCCTCTGTGTATTTGAGTTTGACACCCCTGCTGTAGTCTGTTCCCCTTTGTGCACTCACCTCGCTCTGGTCTTCTCTTCTGACCGTCTGGCTTTTTTCTGTTTAAGCTCTTTCTCCTTCTTATCTTTTCTCTCCTTCTCTTTCTTTATTCTGGCCTTCTTCTGGTTGTCTTGCTTCTTGGACGACTTCTTTGACTTTTGATGTGAAAAAAACAAGAACACTTAAAAGTCGATTACAGCCCTATTCATCTAAATGAAGGCAACAAATTCATTTCAGCGTCTGTACCTCAGTAGGTGCCGGAGAATCAGAGTCTGAGGGAGCGGGGATGGGGGCTGGGGGGGGTTTCTTGGACTTCTTCAATGGATGCTCCTCTACGCCTGGATCTGAGCTGTTGTCGCTGTCACTGTCGCTCGCCTTTTTACCCTTATCTTTGTCTTTTTTCTTTTGCTCATCTTCCTCCTTCTCCCGCTCACGTAGCCTGCGGAGCTCCTCTGCCTCCTCTTTTTTCCGGCGCTCCTCCAGCTCTCGCTTACGCTCCTCGTCTCGTTTCTTCCATTCACTGATGCGGTCGGGGCCACTGTCACTGTGGGGGAAAACAGAGCAACGTTTATGCAATTTGGTACATTTGGCAGTAACTTAGTATGTAGGGACTTTGCCTGGGAAACAGACTCACACACTGCTTAAAGGCACGGACACACCAGGCCGACGATGAGCGTCGACACGCCCTACTCAGATTGGTGTGTCCCGCACCATCAGATATTTTCAGCCGGGCCAACGCCTTTTCGTCCGAAAACGCAGTTAGCCATAGGCAGTCGGCAAAATAAATCACTCTGATTGGCTGTTCAGCTAGCGAATCAGTGCATGAGAAGCGAAACGGAAGTGAGGGACCCAAACAAACTATTAAGAAGGCAAATCTGAGATTTCATTTAACTCCAGCTCTCGACACAGCTTCGGGAAAGCCCCATGAGCTCCTCGCTGTTGAGTGAAAATGGAACACACACGCTATTTGTCGTTTGTTTATATCACGCAGTCTGTTCTTCTTCTCTCGGTTATCATGCACTGTCTTCCGGTTGTTGCCTCTTTTGAATGACGAATACACACTACCGCCGCCTGCTGGTAAGGAGAGTTATTGCCACTCACGCATGCGCAGTTCGTACGTGCTTCTTGGCGGTCGGCTGAAGTCTTTGCGGTGTGTTCCAGAGCGACACATGGCCAAGACAAAGAGACGCGAGGCGACACAACAGTCGGGGTCCGTCTGTGTCAGTTCTTTGTTGTCAGATTGGTGTGTCCGGGCCTTTAAAGATGCTGTGTAGTGTATTATAGCTGCCCACTGCCCCTTTCACTAGGATGGGTTAAATGCGAAGTCTACATTTGACTTGATGGTGCTTTGTTCATGATTTAAAGTTAACTTTATTTGATTCATTGTAATGCCCTCTTTATAACGAGCTTGTTTGTAAACATTACTGTTTGTAAAGGCCCTGACACACCAAGCAGTCACCAGAGAACTCGCCGATGCCAACTGTTGCGTCGGCGTGTTCTCCTGCGTCTTGGCCATGTGTCGCACTGGAACACACCGCAAAGACTTCAGCCGAGCACGTAGGAACTGCGCATGCGTGAGTGGCAATAACTCTCCTTACCAGCGGTAGTGTGTATTCGTCATTAAAAACAGGCAACAACCGGAAGACAGAAGAAGAACAGACTTGCTTTTAGTTGTGCAGCTCCACTAAATTGGAACAGTCTGCAAACATGTTTAAAAGTGAGCACTTTGGTTCCCCTGCATCATTTCAAAACTCGGCTGGGTGACATGCTGTTTGATACTCATGGTACCTGTCTCTGTAAATAGAGTTTGTAAACTGTACCTGTACATTATGTTGTTTGTCATCCTTATTGTTGTTCTGTTGTTTTTATGTTACATGTGTAACTAATGTCCTGCAGGTCACCCTTGAAAAAGAGATCTTTTGATCTCAAGGGGCTTCACCTGGTTAAATAAAGGCTACAAACAAACAAGACTACGTGATATAAACAAACAACAAATAGCGTGTGCGTTCCATTTTCACTCTCGTCCATCGAAAACATGTTTCGTGCGGTACTGGAGCTATCAGCCGTTGGAGTGTTGCTTGAGGAAGACATTCTCAAGCAACCGTTTCGCTTCTCATGCACTGATTCGCTAGCTGAACAGCCAATCGGAGTGATTTCTTTGTCCGACTGTCTGTGGCCGACAGTGCGGGACACACCAAATTGAGTTTGGGCGACAGGGCATGCTTCGTCGTCCGACTAACGAAAACGGCGGATTTCGGCCTGGTGTGTCAGGGCCTTAATATGTATAATGTGTATAATATGTATGTACTGTATATAAATAATATGAAGGCATAAAGCAGTCTTACCTGTCGCTGTCGGATGAAGATGAAGGTGTTCGTTTTGCCGGGGTGGGTTTGGGTTTGGGTTTAGGTTTCCGTGCACGAGGCTTTGGTGCGGGCTTCTCTGTGGGTGCTAAAGATAAAGCAAATTAAATAAATGTACGTAGGGCAAAAGGAAAGGGCCTGAAATCTAACTCCAGAAACATTTATTTCCAGAATTGGAAGCTGAAATGTATGAACAGCAATGAACCCACACCTTTCTTGCGTGCCTGTGGGGCTTTTTTAGGAGGAGGGTCTGAGTCTGAGTCAGACTTTGAGCCAGACTGAGACTCGGAGCCGGACACAGCCGGTCGAGGCTTCTCGTCCTCCGACTCGCTGTCAGCTGCTTTCTTCTCTGGTTCTGATCCTGAGTCCGAGTCTGAACCAGACATACCCTTCTTCAACATGACAGAAACAATTGGAGTTAGAGATAAATGAATAATACAAAAACTGCCATGCCATAAACATTTTTTGAATGTGATGCTGATGGTTCACCTTATTCTTCGCTCTGCCTCCTGCTTTTGGTCTACCTCGTCCTCCACCACCTGCTTTCTTCTCTGGATTTGATCCTGAGTCCGAGTCTGAGCCAGACATACCCTTCTTCAACATGACAGAAACAATTGGAGTTAGAGATAAATGAATAATACAAAAACTGCCATGCCATAAAAAAATGTTTAATGTGATGCCGATGGTTCACCTTATTCTTCGCTCTGCCTCCTGCTTTCGGTGCACCTCGTCCTCCACCACCTGCTTTCTTCTCTGGTTCTGATCCTGAGTCCGAGTCTGAGCCAGACATACCCTTCTTCAACATGACAGAACATTTTTGAGTTAGAGATAAATGAATAATTATGGAAGCCCATTTCCGCCACTTAAAAAAATTAAAATCCCCATGAAAAGTCATAATTATGAGATAAAAAAGTCGAATTTACGAGATAAGAAGTGCGCATGCGCTGCAGTGGCGATGTCTGAAAGGTCCCTTCTTCACCTTGCTGCTCTCCACCATGCAAACGGCATCTAGTCCTAAATAAGGTAACTATTACAGGTGACTTTTGTAAATATTGGATGTTACATATAGCCTATATTCCAGCTAAACCACAACAATGCAGTTCATAGCTTTGACATTACCTGTTATGAACTATAATATATATGCCTATAGTTTTGTGGTAACGTTCACGCCACTAATGACAATAGTGTGAGCATACTGCTGCTGTGAGTTGCTAGCCTAACTCTAACCCGTGAACGTTACCAAAAAACTATAGGCATATATATTATAGTTCATAACAGGTAATGTCAAAGCTATGAACTGCATTGTTGTGGTTTAGCTGCAATATAGGCTATATGTAACATCTAACATTTACAAAAGTCACCTGTAATAGTTACCTTATTTAGGACTAGATGCTGTTTGCATGGTGGAAAGCAGCAAGGTGATGAAGGGACCTTTGAAGACAGCGCCACTGCAGCGCATGCGCACTTCTTATCTCATAATTTCGACTTTTTTATCTCATAATTATGACTTTTCATGGGGATTTTTTTTTTTCAAGTGGCGGAAATGGGCTTCCATAAATAATACAAAAACTGCCATGCCATAAAAAAAATGTTTAATGTGATGCCGATGGTTCACCTTGTTCTTCGCTCTGCCTCCTGCTTTCGGTCCACCTCGTCCTCCACCACCTGCTTTCTTCTCTGGTTCTGATCCTGAGTCCGAGTCTGAACCAGACATACCCTTCTTCAACATGACCGAAACAATTGGAGTTAGAGATAAATGAATAATACAAAAACTGCCAAGCCATAAAAAAAATGTTTAATGTGATGCCGATGGTTCACCTTGTTCTTCGCTCTGCCTCCTGCTTTCGGTCCCACCTCGTCCTCCACCACCTGCTGCTGCTTTCTTCTCTGGTTCTGATCCTGAGTCTGAGTCCGAGTTTGAGCCAGACATACCCTTCTTCAACATGACAGAAACAATTGGAGTTAGAGATAAATGAATAATACAAAAACTGCCATGCCATACAAAATGTTTTTAATGTGATGCTGATGGTTCACCTTGTTCTTCGCTCTGCCTCCTGCTTTCGGTCCACCTCGTCCTCCACCACCTGCTTTCTTCTCTGGAGTAAAATCCTGTTGGAAAAAATACAAATGAGTAACATTCATTGGCTTTTTTTGATAACGTGGTGTGTGCATCTGTGTGTGTGTAAATACCTGGTCACTATTCTTGCCGGACTCAGACTCTGAAGGTGTGGGTTCTGAGTCAGATCCACTCTCCTGTTTGTCTCGCTCACTGGACGAGCCACGAGCCTTTTTTGGAGGTGGAGGCCGCTAAAATAGAAACACACATATTTAAATAAAACAAGTTGAACTTTTCAGAATCAGAATACCTTTATTAGTCCCACAGGAGGGGACATTTACATTGTTACAGCAGAAAAGAGCCAAAGACAGTTTAATGTTACCTAAGCATGCATCAAAAGTACTAAAGATAAAAAAAGAAATAATAATAAAAAAGTTACACATTTTACAAAAATACACACCCTGTAACAGTTCTGAGGATTTAGCAGCCAGGTATATATTGCACCGTTTTTAACGGCATATATATATATAATAGGGGTGCACCGAATGGGAAATTCTTGGCCGAAACCGATACCGAAAATAGGAAACAGTTGGCCGAAAACCGAATGCCGAAAGGCCGAAAATGATTAATAGAAATATATATATATAATGTATACATTTTTTACCAATGTTGTTCAGCTACCTGATTATGGAAATAGACATGATTATGGCAAAACTTAACTTAAATAATAATCACTATTATGGGTCCATAAAACATTTATTCAGCACTTTTGAATGCATACAGTACATTTATATATGTCATGTATTATTGCTAAAAAACATTATATCGCAGTCTTAGTGTCGCCAACTCGTTTCTAATATGCAAAGACAACAAATGCGTCGATGATGTATTTTCGATCAGACGAGATCTCTCTCCCCCGTCTGTGTGCGAGGGGGCGGGGCAGTTTACACACACGCAGCTGCTACATGCAGCGGAGCACACTGCGGAGATGGCGGAGAGAACGCGCTCCGAGGTGTGGTTAAACGTTACCCGTCTCGATGTGGAGAATACTTGTTACCATAAGTGCAATAAGAGTTTAGCATGTAAGCACGAGCAATTTGTCTAAACATTTAGCAAAAGTGCACCGCATGCAGACGGAGGAATGTACTGGGTTCGACCGTCTTTCTAGCAGCTCTGTAGCCCCATCCACGAGTAACGTTTCCACGTCAGGTGTTATGTATGCTAGCAGCAACACACGGAGTTAACTACATTATACAAACATGGGTTAATGATTAGAGGAAACTGAGTTATTTAGTTTGTTAAAATGTCAGCTATTCTGTTTACAGTCTGTCATCAGATTATTTAATACGATTTGTTAAAGGCTCAGGGCAATCTCGATGACAAAGGTCAATGTTCCCCCCCCTGTGAGCCAGCCGCGAGCATGGTCGCCGCGTCTTTATTACGTCATCACAACAACACGTTAGGTTACCAACGTAAGCCTGTTCTGACATTCGGTGATATTTTTTTCGGTGCTAAAACCCTTCCGGCCGAAAGCCGAAAGGGCCTTTTTAACCATTTTCGGCCGATAATTTTCGGTGGCCGAATATTCGGTGCATCCCTAATATATAACAACAAGAGGTGTTATAGTCAGTGTTGTTGTGTGTGTGTGTCTTTATCAAGTATTTCACTGCAGCTTGTTTTTATACACAGTCAGTTTTGTTTTCAGCCAAACACGGTGATGGTGAAAGGCAACTCTAATCTCTATAAAGGGCTGTCGACACTGGAACACATTTACAATTGAGCAAATTAGTTTCCATTTATTCGTGGTTTGGGTTGAAGAAAACAAGAACGGAACCGAAGTGATTGTCATTTACCAAGATGCATTAATGCATATGTGTTTCTGTAGTGTAGTATCAAATCAAACTTTTTTGTATAGCCCAATATCACAAAATACGTTTGTCTCAGTGGGCTTTACAGATTAAAAATCAACAACATTGTATGGAGTTACAGCAAAATGAGTATATAGGCGCTTTCACACCGCAGTACTTTGTACTAAAGTGGGAAAAGTACTGCGGTGTGAAAGCGCCTTATGAGTAGTCTATCTGTGTATCTGTGTATTGTACTGTATCATGGACAAGGGTTTAAAATGAGTTTCATGCTCTGTATTGGAAATATGTTGAATTGCACCGTCCCTAACATTTAAAAATAACTTTGAATGTACAGCTCGACCTGTCAAACTTGTACATGTATCATTATTGCTTTTGACAACAAAAAAAGGAAGTTAACAGTCATTAGCGGTATTTTGTTGATACCTCCTGTTTTTCTTAATTCATACCTTACACACAAATTCTCAAAACAGACCTAAGCATTGTAATTGTGATGGTAACTTTGATGCTGCTGATTAAACTTGGTGGCATTGTACCCATAATTGTAAACAAGAATATCATTTTCCATTCAGCTCAACAACAGATAGTCTGATCCAATCAGTAAATGGTTAATTAGCCAAATCCCTGAACAGGCCTTTACCGACAGTTCAATGTTATGTTTAACGGCCATTACCTTAGCAGGAGGTGGCTTTCTCTTCACAGCTACTCCCTTTCCTTCATCTTCACTCCCAGAATCTGAGTCCACCACACTAGCTGAATCTGCTTTCTTAGGCGCTGGGGCTGCTTCTTCCTCGTCGTCATCTTCATCACTTCCTCGTCCGGCATCGTTGCCCTCACTGTCAGATGAGCTGGCCGGCTGCAAATGAAGATGATTGATTAAAAAATGTCAAGACAATTTTCTTTTTCTTTGACGGTTTCTGTCTTAGACAGAGACATAAAAAATGGGGACAGAAATGCAGCAAAGTCCCCTGGTAAGAATTGAACAACAAATGTTGCAGCACGCATCACACCTTAGACTGCTGGCCATCAGGACTCCCTAACTGCTGCGTTTTATTCCAGAGAAAAGACAAGGAATGTTTATTTGTAAAGCACTTTTAAACAACCAGACAATTGAAAGTGCTTTAAAAGTTAATATCTGCATGTTAGTTAGAAAATAATGGACAGAAAAATGTATTAATGTGCAAGAGCTGAGCAGGAATGAATATAAACACCTTCAGGTTTGACACTAATAAAGACTTCAAATTCTTCATTTACAAGTATGAGTTAAACGTAAATTGCTTCAGGATTTAGGATTTCTGAAATAATGGTATCTTACTGCTGGTGGTGCGCTGTAGGATGCATGTGGATTGTTCTGGATCTCCCATAAACCTTCATTGAACCCCTTCCTTTTGTTGGGCTTTCCATAGCGTTCGCTGTACTTTTCATAGGCAAAAAGGTCCTTTGCTGCAAGGAATGCTCTGTGAAGCAGTAAGATTGAAGTATTATTTAAGCTGTACAATTTTCGAAAAAGGACAGTTATTATTGAACAGGTTGGAATTATATAGACTTTACACTGACTGACTTGAAATGTAAGAACACTTGACTGTGCCACCTAGTGATGGATTATTAAACTGCAGGTGCCATATTGTCAAACAGATGGTGTCTGATGCCATATCAGACATATAAACACATCTCTCGAAAACATACTGCTAACTCAGACTGACAAAAGTCTACAGTGAGTAAACCTTCAGAAAAGAATAAAGCTTAAAGGTGGGGTAGGTAAGTTTGAGAAACCGACTCGAGATACACTTTTGTTATATTCCATGGAATACTCTTAACATCCCGATAGCAATAAATATCTTAAGTGCTTTGACTAAAAATCCATAGAAAAAATTTCATCTATGGAAGCCGTAGTACTGTAAAAAGCACGACCAATCATTTTAGCCGGCCCGGCTAAAGTAACTGGATGGCCTACCTGCCTGTCAGCCTTCCATCTGTGCACAAACTTATCTCGTGCCCTCATTGGTCATGTGTGCGTTCGTGTGTGTTGGAGGAGGGGCTCTGTAAGGAAGTGGCAGATTTTTTCCGGCTGTGTATTTTCAAATTCTAGCGCACTCGAGCTGGTTTCTCCAAAATTACCTACCCCACCTTTAAGAGCGGAGACTGACAAACAACTGTGTGAGATAAACGTAGAGAATTGTGTTGTGGTCTCACAGCATAGCTGTCAAAGAGGATATCATGCTAACAAACAGATATGCAGCATGACAAAAATGAAACAATACTTGAATAACTTAATATCAGACAGAATTGTAATACAATTCCCTGCTTACAGTAGATTACAGAAAAGCATTTGCTGTCATTTAAAGAGGCACTATTATGCTTATTTGGGTTTTCCCTTCACTGTAGTGTTTTATAAAGGTTTGTGTGCATGTTACTGGTCTGCAAAGGCTACAATCACCAAGTTTAGCTAGAGGGACTTAGGATTGTAGTCCTTTGTTTACTTCTGCAACATTGTGACATCACTACGTAACACACCTCTTGTATTGGCTAGTGCTCTACTACATTGTACATAATAGACTAAGGGGCAGGACATCTCTAAGCGGTTGACAAAGCACAACAGAGCCGGACAGCTAACCAATCAGAGCAGACTGGGCTCTGGTTTCAGACAGAGGGTGAAAAGAGGTGCTGCAGCACAGGCAGTATGAGAAATAAGAGCTTTTTGAACATTAAAACATGGAGACATGTCACAGTAGAGACATCAAATACAAATATGGAACCTGAAAATGAGCATTATAGGGCCCCTTCAGGTTAAAACAGGTAGGCCGGTTTCTTGTTTCTCTAACTAAAGATAATTACAAAACTACTCACGTCTCATGTGTTCCAAAGAAGAAAATTGGGATTTTATTAGGAGGTGGTTTCACTGCCCCATCAGCCACGTCTTCAATCTGCAAACAAGCAAGTAAATACCAAGTGGCAAATAAAAACATTATAGAACTCATTCAAACATGGTGGCAGCATGTATTCATTTAGGTTGTGTCAGAAAAACATAACATTGCAGAGTGAAGCTGATTTAACTTTGAATGGATGCATATGTGGTGGTTTTATATTGAGTAAAGTGTTTTCTTATCTAGAATTATGAATCGTCATTTCCAAAATAACGTTAGCTTCGCAGCAGTGCATTCCCATGCAGATTAACGTTAGGCCACCAGTATCTCATGCAAATGATGCTGCTAATGCACTGCATAGAGGCCTGAAACACAGCCTATCAGCCTGCCACATATTAATTTGTGCATTTGTGGGATGGTTATACATGTTAGATAGTGGATACACAGAGAGCCTTTGCATGCAGAGCAGCTCATCTCCTCCGCCCCTCCGGCTGCTGCTAGCGTTGCTTACCCTGGCTGGCCAGTGGGGGTACCCCTTCATTTTAGCGAAAACCAGGTCTCCGGGCTGGAAGCTGTGCGGCATTGTCCCACTCCTCGGTGCAGCCGGGATTTAGAAAGTATTCGGCGGCGTAGCCTTCCTGTGTCTCTCTCGGTTTGCTGTTTTTTTCAGGTCGACACGAAACCTAGAAACGATGGGGTTAGCTAGCTAAGCTAACAGTATACTAACGTTACCGCGAGAACAAGCGGCTCAGGGAAGATGGCAGTAATGTACCAAGCACTTCCGGTGAGAGAATGTTCTATGCCTTCAAAATAAAGGACCTCTACTCAATGTAAAAACATTGTAATTAAATTGATCCAACAAATAAAAATAAATAAATTAACCTCAATCTTCATTTATCATACATTTCCAGCGTTAGCATCATTATTAATATTATTACACTAATCCAATCCCCCAGTTTAACTTTACATTTCTGATTTATAATAAACTGCTTTTACTCTTTTGCACGTTATGAGTTAACAATTATTAACATTACCTGTATTTATAGTTAAATATTTCTTACAGTGTTTCTATAACTAATATGTATTGCACTTGTTATACCATGTCTTGTATCTTGTTCTGTAGATTACCTGTCTTTGTGTCTTCTTTATTGTTCATTATTTTGTTTTTCTGAACATGCAAACACAACTCGGTGCGCACTGTATATAGATTGATGACAATATAGCCCCTTATCTTATCTCTGTATATCACCAGAAACCATGTCACATGATGCAGGATCTTAATCTTCAAAAACAATTAAACAAGTATGTGCAACTATATTTGTTACCTACCTATACGTATCTACAAATAATAAACAGGCTTGCATACGTATACTTCTTTATTGTCATATTCACAATCATTAGAGAGCAGTCGATGTCAATAATAGTCTTGGATCTCAGGCTCTCTCTCACAATACTCATACAATTAAGAAAGCAAAATCAAAATACAACTTAAATAAAGCAATATGAATTAGTGCTAGATAGTTGTGCCCATATTATCAAAATGTATTTTAAAGTGTTTCGGATTGATACATTAAATGTGTACATTTTTTAATAACAAAAAGGTTACATAAAGTTTCTGACTTTTATTCTACAAAGTAAATTCTCCTTCGATGTCAAACCGGAAGTTCAGCTTCCAACGTTCTCAGAAGCTTCACTAATCCGGATGAAGCAGGCTGATCGGCTCCACGCGATACGACAACCACGGCGGAAGTCCCGCCTTCCTCTCCTCGCTATTGGCTGACACTCGATCCGTTTCCTCTCCACCCAATGACAGATCCTAAAGTAGAGGGCTGCATTGACCTCCCCCCGGATTCACCTCTAATGCGAAGCCATGTTTCGGTCTTTGAGACGCGTACAGCAGTTTAACTGCAACCTCCTGGCTTTAAAAAGAGTCAGAGTCAACTCGAAACTGCTAATCTGCACGTCCAGAATGGCCGCCTCAGAGTACAGGATCGAGCGGGACTCTTTCGGTGAGTTAAAGGTCCCAGCTGACAAGTACTACGGAGCCCAGACTGTCAGATCCACTATGAACTTCAAAATTGGGGGACCCAGTGAGAGAATGCCGATCCAAGTGATCAAGGCCTTCGGTATCCTGAAGAGAGCAGCGGCTGAGGTGAACAAGGAGTTTGGCCTGGACCCTAAAATAGCAGATGCAATCATCCAGGCTGCAGATGAGGTGTCAGCTGGTAAACTGGATGATCATTTCCCTCTGGTGGTGTGGCAGACTGGATCAGGCACTCAGAGCAACATGAACGTAAATGAGGTGATCAGCAACAGGGCTATTGAGATCCTGGGAGGAAAACTAGGCTCCAAGGATCCCGTCCATCCTAATGACCACGTCAACAAGAGTCAGAGCTCCAATGACACTTTCCCCACCGCCATGCACATTGCTGCAGCCACAGAGGTCCACCACGTCCTGCTGCCTGGCCTGCAGGCGCTGCACGATGCTCTGGCTGCAAAGGCTGTAGAGTTCAAAGACATCATCAAGATCGGACGCACACACACTCAGGATGCTGTGCCGCTGTCCCTCGGGCAGGAGTTCAGTGGGTATGTCCAGCAGATGAAGTACAGCATCGAGAGAGTCAAGTCTGCCATGCCCCGAGTGTACGAGCTGGCAGCAGGAGGCACAGCAGTGGGGACTGGACTCAACACCCGCATCGGCTTCGCTGAGAAAATCGCCTCTACCGTTTCCTCTCTCACAGGCCTGCCTTTTATCACCGCCCCCAACAAGTTTGAAGCTCTGGCGGCCCACGATGCCATGGTGGAGCTGAGTGGAGCTCTGAACACCGTGGCTGTCAGCCTGATGAAGATCGCCAACGACATCCGATTCCTGGGGTCAGGACCTCGCTCCGGCCTGGGAGAGCTCATCTTACCAGAGAACGAACCAGGAAGCAGCATCATGCCGGGCAAAGTGAACCCCACCCAGTGTGAGGCCATCACCATGGTGGCAGCCCAGGTCATGGGGAACAACGTGGCGGTCACCATCGGAGGCAGCAACGGACACTTCGAGCTCAACGTCTTCAAGCCCATGATCATCAAGAACGTGCTGAACTCAACCAGGCTTCTCGGAGATGCATCCGTGTCCTTCACCAACAACTGCGTGCTGGGCATCGAGCCCAACATCGAGAGGATCAACAAGCTCATGAACGAGTCCCTCATGTTGGTCACCGCTCTCAACGAACACATCGGGTACGACAAAGCGGCCACCATCGCCAAGACGGCGCACAAGAAGGGCTCCACGCTGAAGGCCGTGGCCGTGGAGCTGGGCTATCTGACCGAGGAGCAGTTTGACCAGTGGGTGAAGCCGAGTGAGATGCTGGGGCCAAAGTGAACTGTGACAGCACAAGAAACACAAGACAAATGAAATACCTTTTCTAGTGTCGGAAAAGACTATCTACAAATAAATCAGAGACTGAAATGTATGAAGCAACATCTCTGAATCCTGAACATCTCGTCTTTAAAAAAAAATATGAGAATGCTTTGCAGCTTCTTTCTTAATGGTGATGGTTGATTTCACGGTCATACACTTGTAACAGTAAAGCCACCGATTTGATTGACGCATATTTAAAGAGCTCCTTCACAAAAAAAACACCCGTGTGTGAGAGAACCTACCGTTTTGATTTAAATGAGTTGTGTGTACCAACATTCTTGGTTCTGGTATTTGAAGTCTTAAATGAATTTGACTTATTAGTTGGTATCTTCATGGTTGTTCAGAAGTTCACACTTTGCCATCCAAAAGGATTCAACAGGGACTCTGGTTTACAGCACGTGTGCCATTTTTGTTTTGTTCCAATTTAATGATGTATTCATTAAAAAGCAACTATTCTGCTTTCTGGCTTTCCTCCTCATGGTTTACACACGCATGCTACATGTATATAATAAGCTGATCTATGGGTTAAATCAACAGAATATATGCACTCAAAGACAGGGAAACACAATGATATCAGTTTACTCAAATCCTTTATTGTATACACACGGAAGTAAAACATGAGAATTACTTGAGGCCAATTGAAGGACTTTTAATTGTAAATATATAAAATAAGCAAATAAATGTGATGACTTAAGTTCAATCAGTAAAAGATAAACAAAGAGACAGCTCCTCTTCTATTTGGTCCAGCTGACCTTGGGAATATCATAATGCTCCGTCAGGCAGTCCAGGTGCCGATTGAAGTCCTGCAAAAGAACAAAAACAATAGAATATATTTATTTGTGTTAACATTATTAAACTAGTCCACTGAATGGTGCTATGACATGACTTACCTCCACTCTCAGTTTGTGAGTCTTTGATGCCTTGTTCAAAATCCTCTCCATTTGCTTTAGGGAAGATAGGAAAAAGTGAACGTTAGTCACTCTGTCTGTATACACCTCTACAACACATCTACCCAAACACACGAAAAGTTAAGAACTGGTTAACGGCTATGTTTCTCTTTGACAACATCACCTGTTTGCAATAAATGACATGCTAAAACTCCCCTAATACTGTAATAGAGCCATGTATTCCTGCTGTGGCTGAAAATACATTCACCACTTCAATCAATGAACTTTGACCTCTGGGTAGAGAGGGGCTGATAAACACTGTCAGTTAAGATTTAAAGACGAATCAACAGACCATAAAAGATCATTAACCTTACCTGAGCAAACAAAATATATATATTTTTTTTTAGAAGATTTCAGCTTGGATCAATCTGCTATGTTAAAATGTTAAATTTAAATACAGTTGGCAATCTATCTCAATGGTATTTCCAATAATAGCACATAAGTTAATAATTGACAACTCTCCTATGGATATTTTGGCATCACAGTTCCACTATACCAGGGGTTCTCAACGTGCGGCCCGCGGGCCAATGGCGGCCCTCGGAAATGTTTCTGGCGGCCCGCGATAGTTAATGTGACACGCTGAAATGCATACGTTATATTTTAATCCTCCATGGTTCGTATCTAGTAAGAATTAGAATGGAATTTAAGAATGGTAAAACTGCGCCCCCTGGGTTGTCATTCCTAAATTATGAATGACAGCTTGTGGTAAGTTTGCTAGACTACTGGTTGCATGGCAACTAGGCATCTCGCGAGTTGCGGTAATTGGTTAGTAAAATAAAGAAAGGATTTGTTTTGGAATTATTTTGTGTTCCGTTTTTTCTTGGGCGGCCCTCAATCCAATATTGGGTACCTAAATTGGCCCTCACTCATCAAAACTTTGAGAACCCCTGCACTATACTATAGCACTACTGGTTGTGATGCTAAGTGTGCAAAATTGTCATCCTGTAGTAGAGAATGACAAATTAAAAGTGTATTATTGTAAAAATACTATTTAAAAAGGGTTGTTCTGTGCGCATCCATCACAGTCTCAGGGCATTTCGTGTTATAGTCACAAAATGTATCTATTAATTTGTGTTCACCAACACGATTTCGCCATTTTTTTCGTGTCACACAGAACCATTTTAAAAGCAATGTAAATAATAACAAATTAGAAGGAAAAAAAGATTTAAAAAAAATACAGATTTCAGTATTCTGAGGCTCTGAGCCCGATTTCTTTTCCTCGCGGACGGCAAAAAAACTCAGACATTATACAATTTAAAATAAAAGGGTTAGTTAGGGTAAGATATTGAGGAAGAAAATGTTTTTATGAACCACACAGCTTCCGGTCTTCCAAGACCCGACAAAAAGACGAGTTGCAGGCACGAAACATACTACCAATAGAAATACATTGCTTTTAAAATTGTTGTGACACGGAAAAAAAAGCAAAAATCGTGTTGGTGAACACGAATCAATAGATTAAATTAATTTCGTGACTATAACACGAAATGCCGTGAGACTGGGTTGGTGCATCTGATGATTGGTAACAAACGACATAAGGTACAGTCTTCCAGTAGAGCTTTTTGTCTACTTTAGTTTACTTCTGCTAAATTATAATGATTAGCCAGGTCTCTGCCTCAAATCCTGACCCATTCGCTGCAGGTCTTTAATGCTGGAGAACGATAACTTACCCTCTTCTCCGCCATTTTGTCAAAGGACATTTGAGCCGGTGTTCTTTTGTCGACATAGGTCTTCTTCTCCTCCTCCTCGTTTTGTTGGGCGGCCTGCTCTAAGAGACGCTTGGTCTCTTTGGCCTTCTTCTTCTTCCTGTAAAAAGATAGTAAAGCATGTTGATCAGAGGATTTCCAGACCAACCACTTTATTCAATAAGCAATGAAAAACATATTGTACAGACACATGATAAAAATGTAGGCAACTTACATTAGGGTGGTCCTTAAAATTGAAAGTGGGAAAGTCTAAGCTCCAACCCTTTAGACTTTCCGACTTTCAATTTTAAAGGCCACCCTACGTGAGGCTAAACTTCAAGGTTGATGAGGGAGGGGTACAGTTGTTGGAATTTGAATACAATTCACCAGGAGAGTTTTCTTGACTATCATAACGAATTCTGGAGGTTGGAGCTTAAAATAAATGAATTCGAAAATGTGTATGGCACTAAGGACCACCCTAACTTACATAGATACTTTATTCATCCCAAATAGGGAAATTATTTGTGTTACAGCAGCAGTTAGTTCAGGCATTAAAATATGTAAAGATGTACAAACATAATAAAGTAAAAACAGCCATTTTAAACATTATCTACAGTAGAAAATGACATATCCCAAATAATACAAAATATAAAATATTCTGGATAAATGAAAATCGAATCTTTCTATAAAAGACCAAATACTGCAGTAACAGAAATATAGACTTATAATACATGAGCAGAAAAGGATAGTATAACAATTACAGATGTACATGGCTTTCAATATGACCTTATATGTCAGTGTGGGAGTATTTCAAAAAGTCTTGTGAATGTGTCAGAGAGGGATTGAAATATATATAAATAAATATACATACAAATGAAATGACTCTGGGAACTGTTGAAGCTGTTTTAACGTTGCGTTACCTACATTTAAATCACTGATGTAATGTTTGTAGCCAGAGATGTACCACTCCATAATGTCACCGTAAACTGTAATGAGGTCCCAGTTGAGTGTGGTTTTCCACACTCAAGTCCTTTCCCCATGTATTACTGTATCGTTTACACATCCTAAACGTACATGTTTATGTGACAACTGTGTTGTTCTGTTAGCATACATGCTAACCTTAGCCTCGCCTGAATATCAGACGGTTTTCGCAGTTCCAACGGTTTATGTAAGGGGTTTTATCAAATTAAAAAGGCTCGTCTCTTACAGAAACATGTCACAAATGGAACAACACGTACCTTTTTCCAGCTGAAATGGACCCAAGGCCTTTTAAATTCAGGGCACTCTTCTGAGATGCAGCGTACTCAGACATTTTCGAGAAGCTCCCACGTCTTCTTCTACGATGTTATTGTAGTAATCGAGGCACTGCCTCATTACTACCACCCGGCGGAGTGAGGCGGTATTACACACACGCTGGTCTCATGTCATCCCCCAAAGCAGGACACCTGTGATGATACACTTGTTGAAACTTGTCAGAGGAATTGAAAGTACATTAGTTATATGTGTTGTCACCAAACAGCATTGGCTAAAATATGCACACCGCCTTTGTGCCCCCTTGTGGGTCAAGTTTAAGAAGGCGAGCCTCCAGAAGCTCCAGGTTGCTTACAATGATTGTTTGCATATACTGCTTAGAAAACCAAGGTGGTGCAGTGCAACTGCAAGTGAAATGTTTTGTAATGCACGAGTCAACACGTTCCTTGCTCTCTTGGGAAATCTGATGTACAAATGTATCTGTCGATTGAATGTTTCTCATCATTTTGTCATTATGCTGCTGTCAAATCCTTGTCACAGTAACAGTTTCCATAGTAGTTATATTAGGTTAATTATAAATCAATTATAGAAATATACAATATATGCTAATGTAAATGATTCTTTTAGGTTATTTTAGTCATCTATTTTAATCGTATTGCTCAATTGTATTGCCTAGTTTATCGAATAATTTGTAAGTGATTTTATAATGGATATTTTAGATGTTTTTATATTAATCAATGTAATACTAGAGTTGTTGTATGTGATTAATATTGTTAATACTTTAGACCTGTACATATACTTGTTACAAATGTTGGATTATGAGTCATTGGATAGCTCAGTAGTTACATCTGGTGTCCCAAATATGGTATCTGCGCTTCATATGTGGATTTATTCTGCAAACAAAATTCAGTCATGTACAAAATAAATGTAAAAAGCAAACAAAAACACATTGCAGTTGCTTTTCTGTTCACAGGTTTAATAAAGAATAAGGCTTGAAGCTACACTGACTGCAAATATTAATTTAATTTATTTGGAGTATGTTTTGCATGTTTGCATGTGACTGTCTCCACTAGTTGGCGGTGTTGGTGATTCTCTCTCTAAACATATTGCTGCAAATATAAATGTGTTTTGTTTATTTAAAAATATTACAAAATATCTTCTGCACATTTATTCTCTTACTTCTCTTTTTGCATTTACTTTTGTATAATTTTTAAGTGTTTGTTGTTGTGAATTCATTTTGGTACTCACACACATAGATACATGTGGAAATATATACATGAATACATAAATGCAAATATATGGGAATAGAATAAATACAAAAATGAAAGAAGATTATAAACAAAACACACATTATATATATATATATTTTAATGTATTTCTACATTTACGTTCACATCACATACATGTGTTTATGTATGTATGTGTTTCTGTGGCTGATGTTAAAAAAAACACAGAATGCTCACATCAAGGTTTCAGAAAAATGATGTGAAAAATAATAACAGACAGATGCTAAATCCTATTGGAAATGACAATAAAACATAAATCAAACTATAATACAGACAGTGGCGACTGGTCATTAG